ACTGTTGACCCAGTTTTTTAGGCCCCAGACCTGGAAGTTATCTTTAATTCCTCTCTTTTTCTCATGCCCCTATGTCCCAACTTCTCAGCTCTACCTTTGCAATGAGTGCTGAATGTGAGCACTTCTCACCGCCTCCACCTGTCTCACCTGAGTGGAGGCATCAAGACCTTTCTCCCCATGACTTCTCCAACAGCCTCCTAACCTGTCTCCCTGCTCCCACTCCAAACAGCTCACTCTCCACCCAGCATCCTGAAGGATCTTTTCAAAACATAAGACTGGCCACTGGCTTGCTAAAAACCCTCTGATTGAATGGCTTCCCATCACAATTAGAATAGTATGCATATTCTACTTTAGTCTCACAAATCCACATTACTTTGACCTTGTCTATCCCCCCAGCCTCTTTGTGAACTTGTCTTGCCCCTCAATCTCTGTAGTTCAGCCACACTGGCCTCTTTGCTCAGCCTCAGACGGGTCAGGTTCTTTCCTGTTTCTGCACTGGCTGTTCGCTCTGCCCAGAAAGCTATTCCTCCCACACTTTGCATGTCTTGCTCCTCACTTCAGTCAGATGTGTGCCAAACACCACCTCTTCAGAGAGGACCTTCCTGATCCTCCCAACCCCCCACTGTCCTGCTACTCTCTGGCCTCTTATTCTGTTGACTTTTTAAATAATGCTTATGAAACCTGAATTCTTTTTTAACATTAAATAAACTTGATTTTTTCTTTATTTTTTAATGAATAGTTATTTTAAAATACCAACTTAAAATTATAAGTGTGGGAGGAATAACTATATATACTTGAATAAGAGGAATTGTAGCATCAATTAAATAACTAGCTAAACAAAAAAGAAATTAATCAAAATTACTTTAAAGAGAAAACAATACAGATGTTCTGAGTGGTTGTGGGTGTCCAGGACCCAGCTGCTATGGAAACTGAGTCAAACCTGCAAGTGACCCTGGATTCCTGAGCTCTTACTTCAATACCCTCCTCCTTCCTGGGGGGCCTAATGACCCATGGGATCCCCTGACATTTCAGGGCCTCTGGGGGCTGCGGGTGGAGCAGCAGGAGCGAAAGGGACACCTGGGAAAGGCTGGATCTGGACGGGACCTTGGCCAGCATTTGCCTGTTGTGATCTTTTCTTTCCTCACCTCTGTGGTTTTTCTCAGCCCACGGGGCTGTGTTCTAGCTTCTCGAGCCCTTTCACATGGAAGACGATCCCCTTTCCCTGGTAGGAAGCGCTTCCCTCCAGTCCCTGCCCAGGTCCTCGGCACCTCCGGGAGAGGCTGCGAATCTGATACGCGGAGTTCATGTATCTACAGACATGCTGGGAAGTTTCTTCTCCATTTCTAAGCAGCTCGTTTCCTCCTCACTTTTTTTCTGAAGTTGTGTGAACTGATCTTCATGTGATTCGGGCAGAACTCGAAGCTTCGGCTTCTGCTGCCGAGTCTCACTTTCCAGGTCTGGATACTCACGCCGCAAAGGTGCCTCCTCGAGTTGGGGATCGGTTATCTGTCCTGTGAGCTCCTCATTCGCTTGTTTTCCTCCCGCAGCTGTCCGGCTGTTTCGTGATGTTCCTCCAGGACTTCGAAGGGGCACATTAAAGTCAGATTATCAGGGGCACCCCTCAGATCAACTTGTGTCTGAAAGACGGGGCGGCCGCATTTTCTGCTTCCCTGTTTGGTTCAACCTGACACGACACGTGGCCTAAGTGACCTCTAAGGAACCCAGGCAAAGGCCGGTCTGTAGCAGTTTTTCAGCCGCTGCTGTTATTGGCTGATTTGACCTCCCAGGACCTGCTCCGTGTGTGGCCCACGGCTCCAGCCTGTCTTTCTCTTGCCCCTTTCCCTGGACTCGCTAATTCCATCTCATTGGCGGAGCAGCTGTGGGCTTTCTGAAAAATGAATGTTTTCATTAAATCATTCATTATTTTCTTCTGAAGTCGCTCTCCATCCATCTCTGGTGCTTTTGAGATGGGTTTTTCATCAGTCAGCTGGGGAAGTTTAGGAGACGGGCTCTTCCATGCCATTTGCAGAGAGTCGACCTTGTCCTGAAGCGACAAACTGCTCAGATGTGTATCCAACGCTAACGAGCCCGAGGAGTGGCCTCCACTGCAGGCAGCCCCAGCGAGTCATCGGCGTGTGTCACTGGTTCAAAANCTCCACTGCAGGCAGCCCCAGCGAGTCGTCGGCGTGTGTCACTGGTTCAAAAATCTCACCGCATCTTCCACAGGCTTCATCGCGAGCAGAACACCATTTGCCTGGTGCCGTCACATTCTCAAAGCGTGTCATCGCTTTACTATCAGACACCCACACACANATCGGCGTGTGTCACTGGTTCAAAACTCTCACCGCATCTTCCACAGGTTTCATCGCGAGCAGAACACCATTTACCTAGTGCGGTCACATTCTCAAAGCGTGTCATCGCTTTACTATCAGACACCCACACACAGCACAAGCCAGGACCTCCCAGGGAGCCGCACGGAGACCTGGGGGGTCCCAAGCCTTCAGAAACCACGAGCAGAGCACCCGCAGGGCTCCAGGGAGAGCTGGAAGGTGGGTTTGGTGGCAGACAGCAGGCGCCACGGCTGCTGGGCTCACAGCGCTGTCTCTGAGTGCCCATGTCCTGGGGCCACAACTGACACTCAGAACCCTCGGAGTGTCCTGTCCCTAAGGTAAACAGGTACCCGGCAGCCAGGGCAGATCAGCTGGGCTGGGGGAGGGGAGGCCAGCAGGCTCTAGGAAACAGTTTTCCCTCACTGCTCTGAAATAGAAAGTGAGCTCATGCACACAGGCACCGGGCGGTGGAGAGGGCCCGCTGCGGCCTGGAGCACAGAGAACGCATGTGGGCCTTTGCCTCCCTCACAGAGTGTCCCTTACTGTTGATACCATGCGTTAATGTGGTGCATTTGTGACAACTGATGAACCAATATTGTCACATTATTATCAACAAAAGTCCATGGTTTACATTAGGGTTCACCCTTGTGGTGCATACTCTGTGAGCTTTGACAAATGCATGATGTCATGTATCCACATTACATTGTCACACGGGATAGTGTCACAGCCCCCAGAATCCCCTGTGCCCCGCCAACGCATCCCTCCTTCTCGCCTCTTGAAACTCTGGAAACCACTGATGACTTTCTTGTTCTGAAGGCTGCTTCGTCTGATACTAATATACCTACTCTTGCTTTCTTTCCTTTTTTTAACTTTTCAATTACAGTTGATATTCAGTAGTATTTTATATTACGTTCAGGTGTATAATCCTGAATTCTTAGCATCTATTTATTTGTTAATGTCTATCTCTCCCAAAAGAATGCAAATATCTTACTGGCAAGGACTCTTCCTCCTTGTTCATTCTACGTGTCGAGAACAAGTGCTCAATAAATACTTGCTGAGTGAATGGACGCAAGAAGAAATGTGCAAACTTCAGGAGGAAGTAAGAGATGGGACGCAGAAAGGTAGGCAAGCTGGGAGAGGCTCAGGTAAAGAGTGTTATTTAACTAAACTCAAAGCTGTGAAGTACTTCCAGGAGCTGAGTCAGCAATAATGATGGACAGACACAACGGAAGGTGAGGGCCTCTGCTGGAAGGGAATTTCTGCACTGACGAAATGTTCTCTGTTTCTGCTGTCCAAAACAGTAGCCATTGGCCACATATGACTATTGAGCACTTAAAATGTGGCTAGTGGGACTGAGGAACTGAATGGTCATTTTCTTTCATTTTAATTTGCATTAAATAGCCAGGTGTGGCTGGTGGCTATGGTATTTTAGACAGTGAAGCTCTAGAACCTGGAGAATCCCTTCCCCTTAAAGTGATTTCAGCATAACAATGCATACCTCACATTGTGAGTTGTTGAGAGGATTAGTGCAATAAAAAGCCTTGTCAAATGTCTAAAACAGAGGTGGCCCTCAAAAAAATCATAGCTGCTATTATGATGGAATTGCAAATTAAAGTATATTTAAGTACATACCATTTAAATTTAGCTCTAAAGTGCTGGAAACAGACTTTTATTATTTTTATCATAATTTTTTGTTTGCTAGAGTTAGTGGATAACCAATGTGCAGGTCTATATTTGAGCTCACAAACTAAAAATAGCAAACAACCATTTTGGGATCTCAAGAAGGCCTTTCAATGATAAATAACTATTCCAAGTGGATCCACTTGCTGATACTTCTAATAAACTAATTCGTTTTTAACAACAGCTGATTTAGCAGTTGCAAAAACTGGATTTGTAACATTACTGTATTATTTTCAAAGTGTGTCATCTGCAACTTCCCAAATGCTTTTGGGTAAGAGTAATGTTAGCTTTAATACTTACTATTAAAATAAAGGGGAAAAGTATTTTATTACTGGAAGCATGTTGAATTCTTCAAAGCTTAAATTGATTTAAACATAAAATCATTCTTTTCTTGTCAGAAGCTCATCACACTTTCTTCCGTGCTGAATCCAGAATATAAAATTAACACAGATATAGAGCATACGCAGACCATTATAACTAACCCTTAGGAACAATCTAACCTAATAATAAAATTACACATTTGTTCAGAATAAGCATGGGCTTATTTTTAGGCCAAGAGAATCTGCAGTCCTTAGCAGCAGAGGTGGAAGTGGCCTTCCACAGCCCTGCCTAAGTGCCGGTGGAGGCTCAGATGGAAAGAGGGTGGACGCCTTTAAATCAAACACACGCTTGAAGGTGCTGAGAAAAGCTGGCACACTTATCAGAGAGGCCAATTCCTCTGCATCCGTGGGAAGCCACTTTACAGTAGTTGTAAAAGTGCCCCAGGACATAATGTAAATAAGGATGGAGTAGAAAGGGAATGGAAAATCGCTTTTCTACTAGAAAGCCTCCCCCCCAAAAAAACAAACAAACAACAAAAAAAAACACGATCCCTTGGCTTGGCCGTTTGAAATGCAGATTCTTCGAGGCCCACCCCGACCGTGAAGCTGCGGAGCCGACCCGGGAGAGGGTGAAGCCCGGCCATGCTCCGACGGGCGTGTGAAGACTTACCAATGGGCATCACTAGGAAGAAAGGCAGCCAGCAGAGCACGAAGCAGCCCACCACGATGCCCAGGGTCTGGGCGGCCTTCTTCTCGCGGGAGAACTTGAGGAGCCTCACGGAGAAGTGCGCCTTGTTCCTGGCGCTGGGCACCCCCCTGCCTCCGCCCGGGGCGTTCTTCCGATGGATGCGGAGCGTCACCTGCTCCGAGTCCGACTTGTCGGTCTTGAGGCCGGACTTGAGGCCGCGGCTCTCGCGCTTGGCCACCACGTAGACGCGGCAGTACATGACCAGGATGATGGCCAGCGGCACGTAGAAGGAGCCCAGCGCCGAGAAGAGCACGTAGCCCGGCTCCTCGGTGATCTGGCAGATGGTCTCGTCCTCCGGGGCCGGCTGCCTCCAGCCGAACAGCGGCCCCACGGAGATGACCAGGGAGAGCGCCCAGGCGCAGAGCAGAGCCGCCAGGCCCCGCTTCTGCGTGACGATGGTGGGGTAGCGCAGCGGGTAGCTGACGCCGATGTAGCGGTCGATGGAGATGATGCAGAGCCCCAGGATGGACGCGGTGCAGCACAGGACGTCCACGGCCGCCCACACGCTGCAGAAGACCCTGCCGAAGGCCCAGTAGCCCAGGATCTCGAAGATCGCGGAGAACGGCAGCACCGTGGACGTGAGCAGGAGGTCGGCCACCGCCAGGTTCACGATGTAGTAGTGGGTGACCGAGTGCAGGTGCCGGTGGCAGGCCACGGAGAGGATCACTAGGATGTTCCCCAGTACCCCGAAAATGATGAGGCTCCCCAAGATCACCCCCAGCAGAATGGCCTTGGAAATGTTCACCGGCGCCGGCGGGTGCGTGCAGTTGGAGCTGTCGGAGGCATTTCCGGAGAGAAACACCATGGTCCTAGCCGGGGGTCCCCGGGCGAGGTCCGGCTCTTGACGGCCACCCCTGGGTGGGGGCGGGGGCGGGAGCGAGGGAGCGGGGAGTCAAAAGGTGACTCGGCTTCGGGGAGCCGTGCCCGCTGGGGTTAGCTGGGCGTGGCAGAGAGCTCGCGGGTGGGAAGCACCCCGGGCCGGCCCTGGACACCCTCAGAAGGCCATGCACAGGGGCAGGGCATGAAAGGCGACATGGCCAGGAGCGCGCGCGGTTGTCCGCAGCCGCCCTGCACCCGCTGCTTTGGACCCAGACCCCAACTCCCTACCCATCGGAGGTTTGGCGCCAAGCTCGAGAAGACAACTTGCAAAATGCAGTCCCAGAATTACGGGAGCCCGCTTTCCCGCACGGTCTGATCCGTCCTGATGAGAAGACTCGGCATTCCGCTCATCATGTGGAATTCCAAAATCCAGCGCCAGTCTCGCCCCCAAACCACAAGCAAGTAGTGGTCTGCCGTCGACTCTTAACGGCAGGGACCTTTGACATCTGGGCACTGCCCCGGCCCGCAGTTACCCACCGTGCGGCTGGTCCGCGGCGGGCTCGCGCTGGATCCCGCTCCCAGGCGCGCAGGCGGGGGACGTGGCTGTGAACTGCTGGCGGCTGCGGAGGGTTGTTAGCCGGCGTCTTCCTGAAAGGGCGCAAAGAGGAAGGCGGGGTGTCACCCGGGCGCGAGGGGGTCGCGGCCGTGCCGCCTCTACGGGTAGGACCCGGCTGCGAGCGCAGCCGACTGCGGGGCGGGGCGGCCGGCCCT